TGGATGAAGCCGCCGCGAGCGGTCCTTGAGCTTGACAGCTCCTTGCTGCATCGGGGCATGTCTGCAAAAAGTTGAGCCTGGAGGAGAGGAGGGGAACCAAAGGCAGGCCAGCGCCCTGTGGGGACACCAGCTGCGAAAGGAGAAGCTGATCTGACAGAGGAACAAGGTTTGGCCCTTTGGGTAGCTCATGAGAGCACCTGCAGTTTGGTTTGGTGGGCGAAGCTCCCTTCGAAGGGAACGTTTCACCCGTGCGTGGTACAGCAGGTGCTCTTGGCACGTGGCGGTGGCAGGAATCGCTGGAGGATGTGCCGTGGCTCTGCCAGAGCAGAAATCATCCGCCGTGGTCCTTGGGGACCTCTGGAGCCCTGTCCCTGGAGCAACCCGGGAGCGTGTTGTTGCATGGCCATAATCAGACAGGCTTTTGGTGGGGCTCAGCAGCAAATGCGGGGAGAGCTGTATCCCACCCTGGCTGCTGCTGCTGCTTCCCGGGGAGCCCTCTGGCACTGCCCAAGCTGACTTTAAACCCTGTGGGGGCAGCAGGAAGCTGTGGGAGAATCCGCCGTTGCCAGAGCTGTTCGGTTGAGGGTATTTCTAAGAGCAGGTGCCCGTGTGTGGTGGGGGAGCACGGCTGGGGCCGGCGGTGGTGGGTGTGGGCTGCTTGGGTGGCAAAGCAAGATTGGGGACAGGGTGCTCCCCAGGAGCGGCGTTATGGAGCAGAAAGCCATGAAAGAAAAGAAAGAAAACCGTGCGGAAAGCACGGTGCCAGTGGCATTGACCTGCTCCGACCAAGGACTTACCGCTCCTGGCCTGGGATGTGTGTGTGGGGCCGGGCAAAAGGACCACCCCCATCTGCCTGCCAGGGAGCACTGTGTCCTGCTCCACAGGGCCCTCAGGGATGGAAACACCATGTGAAACTAGCACGGAAATAATTAACATGTCCTCTGCCAATCCCGGGATGGGGCTCTGGAACGGGAACGTGTCAGAGAAAGGCTCTTCTCTGCAGAGACCCTGCAGGGCAGTGGCATCCAAGGGTGGAAACCCTGCGGGGCATTTGTGGGCTGTGGCTTTGGGTGTTGGGAGGTAGAAAGTGTTTTAGCTCTTGCAATTAGGCCTTCTACATTTGTTTAATGGCTTTCCTGAATCCGGGTGCAAATGGCCAAGGGGGTTTAGGCACAGGAGTCTGTTCTGACTTTGTTTTGCTTTGCATGGGATCACTTCAGCTTTGGCCTCACCTGTGCATCCAGAGCAGCTAATCTGAGGGATTTCCCCATGAGATGCTGGTCTGTGCCCTGCACTCCTGTGCCTGGGGGGCAGAGCCGGGCAGCCCAGGACCTTCTCATCCAAAGACTGTGAAAGGTTTTATTTAGTACGAGTGAGAGTTTATCGGAGAGGAAATAGGGTGTGTTTGTGCTCCGCAGGGCAGTGACCTGCAGCCTGGGAGAGGCAGGGGCTTGGGGCAGCCTGAAGAGCTGCTGGTCCCGGCTGAGCAGAGGGACAACCTGGGGCGGCATCGCTGCAGGGAGAGCAGCAGCAGGCACCCAATCGCTCCCTGCAGCTGCTCTTCGCTGCCTTTCCAATGCCTCAGCTGTGTTTTACACATCCTGAATCCAACCTGGCAGGTTAAACAACCTCCTCATCCACCAGCAAATATATGTATGCAAAAGCCTGGATGCCTTCCAGTGAGGGAGACCTGTTTCAGGTGAGTGAGTCCTGCGCCCGGGCTGTCTTTAGCCAGGTAGCTCAGCTCTCCGATGAGCTGGCAGTGCTCAGGTGGAAATACTGCTCACAAAAAACTGGAACAAAGCTCTGACCCCCACCTATGGGACCTCCACCTGCCTGGGATGGTGGTCGTCCCTCTTCTGCCAGAGGTTGGGGAGCAGGAGCAGAGGCTCCGTGCTTGTCCGTGTCCCTGCGTGGGAGAGGCGTGTGTGTCTCCATGGCCATGCCAAGGGCAAGCGTGTTTGCAGCCAAAGCTGCCCTGGGGGTGACCTCTGCAGTGCCAGCAGCCCCCAGGCTGTGGGTGCCAGCAAAAGCCCCGGGTCCCTCTGTCCAGTGCAAATGGGGTTGGTTTCCCTCTTTGTACGTGATGGAGGCTGGCTGACCGGAGGAAAGTAACAGTTGGCAGAATTTGGGTAGCTGTGGTGCTGGGATGAGGCAGAGCATGGGGAATGAGGCCAGGCAGGGACACCAGCCATGGGGTGAGAAGTGGTCTCGAGGCTGGAAACCAAAGCTGCTGCCCAGGAACCGTTTAGGGATCTGGGTCTCGGGCCCATGGTGACCGGTTGTTGTGTGTCTGTGCTATCGCAGGACTGTTGCTCAGCCCCGTTAGGGGATGCCCTGGCTCTCGGGAAGCCTCCTGACCATCCTGGATGTGCCAAGCCCTGGGTAAGCACAGCTCGGTAGCAGATGGTGCGCCCCGGGGTGTGATTACGCATCCATCTGCCCTCACAGCTCCTTCCTCGGGGCTAGGAGCAGACTGCGAGCGGAGGGAGCCAAGCACTCCGTGCCTTGTCATATTTGGGCGTTTTAATTAGAGAGGTGCAGGCCTGGGGCAGCGCTGGAGGGAGCCTGGCGTCAGTGGGTGCTGCCGCGTGCCCTGCTGCACCCCACGTCCCGGGCTGGCGCAGCACGTGCAAGCCCTAATGCTGGCCCACGGGCACTCGCCTCCTGCCCCTCCGGTTGCCACCAAACTGGGAGGTACCCAGGCATGCAGCCAGCCCCGTCCCACATTCACATGCACTGGCTGCTCTTCCTACTGATTCAGAGCATCCTTTCCTTTCCCAGGCGCCTTTTGAGCTGAGATCCCCACATGCGAAATTGCAGGGTCCCTGGCAGGATGCACCCGGGGGGGATCTGGTCTCTGCAGGGGCGAAGCCCCAAGCTGGGGGCTCTGACCTACGCGCTGCCCGGCTGCTCCCTGCAAGGCAAAACTTCTGTGGACCTGCGACTGCTCTGATTTACTCTGTGCGGTTGCGGGGAAAGCTAGAGAGAGGCTTGGTGTGAATGAGCCGGCTTCCTCCTCTAGCCTGAAATTTGGGTCACGCAAACCAACATAGCAGAGCTATGATAGATGTAGTTCATCCTTGGTTCAAGCCCAAGCAAGCTTTGATTTCCAAGGTGCAACTGTTGATGGTTCAGAGAGTCCTTCTGAGCTGCTATTTCATTAGCGGATTGGCACGTGGAAAGAGGTGAGAGGGGTTTTTCCCCTCCCTGATCAGTTCCCACATTGCTAATGTTCCTCTCTGGCCCGCTGCTAATTTTGACGCTGCCCTAAATAGAAGCTGAGTGCATCTCATCTGCTTCACTTAGCATACAGGAAAATTGTTTTCCTTCATTTACTGAATCCAACTTGCGGCTTTAACCCTGTCAGCACAAGTGTCTCCCTGTTGCAGACCTCCCTTGAAGGGCTTCGCTTGCCTCTGCCCCGACGGAGAGCTCTCTGCTGGGAACAGCACTGCACATGATAGGAGAGGGAGAGCTCCTGGGCTGCCCAGGACGGTCACCAGTAGAGCTGGGAGAGGAGCTTTGCTGCATGAACAGCCAAGGAGATCCCTTTCTCTGCTGAAAGGTCTTGTGCTCCGGCCCGGCTCTCCCTGTGCTCTCTCCATCTCTCTGCCGGGGTGTGCTGCTCCCCAGGAGGGACCCAGTGCTCCTTCCCAGATTGGCCTTCCCCAACCCCAGGCTGGAAAATAGCTCAGCACAGGCAGACCCAGTTGTAGGAGGTTTTGGTTAGTTTCTGTTCTGGTATTTCTTCCAGCATCTGGTGGGACCAGCTCAGCACGCAGGGACCCTTCCTGAGCCTGGCAGATGCCCCTCTTATCGCTGTCTAATTTTATATCCCATTCTGAGTGGCTCCTTGGAAAGATCTGCTGTTCCTACTGCACCGGCTGCTCCAGGGCAGGACTCTGGGTTCGCTCTCCCAGCATGGGGCGCACGGCCCCTCTCCGTGCTGGAACCGGACACAACACAGCGCTTTCGAAAGGCTGCCTTGAACGCGAACCCTTCTGCAGCACGACTTAAATATATCACTGTCTAGTGCAAGGTGCTTATTTGGGGCTCTTGTGCAAGAACCGTTTTCCTGAAAAACTATAATTTTGCGGCATTTGCAGCTCGGTGACTGTTACAACAAGCGGTGCGCTGAGGACACAGGAGCTCCGAAAGGAAGCATTGGGGGTGCAAGGGGCAGTGGCCCGCAAAGGTTAAATTTAGCTGGTTAAAAAGGACGGCTGAGTGCTGGCATGCCTGAGCTCGAGCTGAGCCTCAGCTGGGCACACAATAACACTTCAGCCAGGGCGTCTGCATGTTTTCCCCTCGTCCCTCGTGCTCCCAACCACAGTCCTTCTCTGAGCCCACCCCTTTGCCAGCCCAGAAGCTCCTCTTCCCTGCAGAGAAGTGCCAGGGTGAGTGCTGTCCCCTTTCCTCCCCTCTTTCCCTTTCAGCCTCCAGTTTGTTCTGAGCACTCAAGATGTTCTGCAGCAACAGAGGCTGCTCTGCGCAAGGCTCATCTGCTTGCTGGTAGGAGCCTGGCTCTGGTTTGGGCTGCAGAAGCGCCCAGAGTCTCTGGGGTCAGCCACAGTGTGGATGACCTGTTGGGGCGGCCGCAGGTCTCCACGGGATGCCCCATCTCGTGGAGCACAAGTTGCAGAGCAGCTCTTCACCCCACTCCCACTCAGGCGTCCCTGCGGGAGAGGGGACCTTCGTGATGCTCTGCCTGTGGCCTCCTCTAGGAGGGTGGTGTTAGATTTTCCACACCGAAAAGTGGCAAGGGAAAAAGGGAGAGGTTATTTCAGAGCCAGGAGGACAGAGGGACCAAGTAGCAGTGACCCCTGGCAGGCTCCAGGCTGCAGGGCTTGGCAAGCCGCGGGCACAGCCAGGAGCCGTCCTCTGAACAGACCAGGAGAGGGCACGACACGTTGCCGAGGCCACGCCAGATGGAGCAATTGGACGTGGGGAGTTGTTTGGGGCGTTCTGACTCTCATCTGTGTTTAATGTCTTTCCAGAAAATCAACCGGACCCCTTCGGATGAGGAATGCTTCTTTGACCTGTTGAGCAAGTTCCAGAGCAACCGGATGGATGATCAGCGCTGCCCGTTGGAAGAATGCCCATCGGAGGCTGCAGAGGCAGCTGCCACACCGGTCCCTGCCCTGGAAGAACGGATATGTAAGCACTGATGCGTTCATAAGTCACTATTGCTATGGGAGTGATGCTGCTCCCATGGTGTGGCCAGCTGTCGTGGTTTTACTGTGAATCTTACTGTTTTATACTGTTTTCCCCAAGCCTCAGCATTCTGAACTTAGCAGTCCTTTGGCAATCTCCATCATTATTTAAGGAAGAAAGAAACATTCTTATGTTAATGGTTGCTGAGGGAAAGGCTGGAGAATACGAACTAAGGCTTGGAGAGTAAACCAGCAAGAGAAATGCAAAATATACTTGGATTTTTTCAGTGTGGATCTTTTGAAGGTCTGGCCTTTTGAACAGTGAGGTTGGCACGAGGACTTCTGCCTCTGCCAGCATCTCCAGGAGGAAGATGCTGATGGTCATTACTGAGGGAGCCTTGTAAGAGCCTGGAGAGCTGGGGCATGCAGAGGGCTGGGGCAGGCTTTCACAGACAGGTTAAAGTATTGCCAGTTTTTCTCATAGCGTTGCCATGGAGGAAGAACTTCTGGATTTTGTACAGTTCTTGGATGCTGTCGTGATAGGTGCTGTGTAAGAACAGAGAAGCCGGAAGGATGGATAAACAGTAGGAAGCTCCAGCAGGCAGACAGCTAGCTCACCCATAGGAAGAAAAGGGATAAATTGAGGAAGCTGTCTGACAAATAGATGGGACAGGAAAGGCAGGTCAGGTCTGTGTTTGCGCTTTGGTTTCGCGTCTTTTTTTATGATATGGCGTTGAGGTCCTTTGTTTAAATCAAGCTGGAGAGAAGCATTAAAATGTGCAGGTCACACTTGCACACTTAATCACCACCACAAAGGGCTCAAAACACTTCATTTGAAGTGATGGATTTGTTTATCAGTTTCCAAATGAACACGAAGTACAAATAGGAGAGGAGGAGACCCCTGAGATCCCTCCGAGTGCGGCAAGAGCTGCAGCACGAGACTGCTCAGAGAAGTGGGTGCCAGAAGCAGTGAGAGCAGAGCGGTGTGGAGAAGGTCAGGCTGTGGCAGGAAGGCAGGTTGGCTGTGAGGTGAGCAGGTTTTTGTCTTCTAAAAATAGAGTGGAAATGAGCATCACTTTCTCAAGATACACATTTCTGATACAGAAGTGTGTTTGGCTGTAACAGCTGTGTAATTTAGGAGGCTGAGTTTAAAATATGGAGCTTTATAAAGAATGTACAAGTAGGCACAGGCTCTGCTTTTGTTTTGTCTCTGAGCCTTTTGGACATGTTATTTTCAAGGTTTCTTTGTGAGCTAAAGGGGAAGAAACTCATCTTTGAGTTAGCACTGAGATTTTTATGTGTTTCTGCAACTCCACGAGCTGGGGCTTTAAAAAGAGCACGTCGTGTCAGGAGGCTTGGGGCACCCTCTGCTCAAGTGCTGTGTGCTCACTGGGACAGTAACACCAATTCGGCTGTGTTTCTTACAGTTTTTTTGCTTGCCCCTGTCCCAAGCGCAGTGTCTGTTGTTTGGGAGCCTTTCACTGCCCAGCAGCTGCCAGGAGCCAACAGGCTCTTTCCATTGAGCGCTGCCCGAGAGGCGTTTCCAGCGCTGGGGGCTGACTCACTTGCTTTGCAGAGGTCCTGCCATTGCTCGTGTGCCGTGTTTGAAAATCCTCCCTTTGTCCCGTTGTTCCTCTGCCCTGCGCGAGCCGAGCCCCTCGGTGGTGCCGATGGGATGCTGCCTGGAGCAGGTGTGCAAAGCTGGGGGATGCTGCCTGGGCACGGCTGTGCTCCGGCCGTGCGGGTACTCCCCCCAGGGGTTTATAGAGTATAGATTATATGTATAGGTTCTGGACCGGGACCCTCTGCCACCAGCTCATGCCACCCCCCTCCCGGCAGGCAGAGCCCAGGCTGGCTCTGCTCCGCTCTGTGCGATGAGAAGAACCAGACCCCACGAGAGTTTTCCTCGCACGTGCTGTGACGCAGGTCCTGCGGCTCGTCATAGCCAGAGTGTCTCCAGGGCTCACCTTGACAGCGCCTATACTTGAGCTGGCCCAAAAAAGGCCGGGCTTCTGGGGGGGGCCTGGAAAGGATGTGCCGCCAGGTGAGTGGCTTAGCCAGGCCTGGGCTTTGCTAATTACCTGCCTGTAATTATACCCAGCCCTTGGGACTGTGCAGGGTGCCCATGGCCAAGCCGGTGATGCTCGGGAACTCTGTGTCACCTGCAATCGCTGGCACCTGCCCAGCCCGGAGCGAGGTGCGGGTTGGCCCTTGTGCAGCAGTGGTGCCTCTTGGCTCAAGGTGGAAACCCAGGTGGAAGCAGCAGTGGAAGCTGCCTGTAGTTGTGCTGGAAACAACAAGTGATCACTCACCGGCAGCGGTTAAAGTCAGGGCACTGGATCTTCTGGGCTGAGGTGGCATCTTTGGTGTCCCCCAGGAGCTGGGCGAAGTGCAGTAAATAGCAGGGAGCCCCTCACGGGAGGTCCAGCAGCAGGAGGTGTGACTGTGAGGTTCTGCTCTTTACCCTGTCAAGGCACCTGCTTTTCCCCTGTGCTGCCTGATGGTTTTGTGTGCGTGTGGCAGGTTTGTTGTGGGAGGCATGCTCTGGAGCGTACTGCGCTGTTTTTGCAGCCCCACAAATTGGATATGTTCATTTAAGAAGTATATTGGCCAGGGAGCCTGCTGGAGGCAGTGTGCACAGCCCTGGGGGGAGATGTGCTCCGGCTGAACATGGAAACCGCAGCTCTGCTGAACCGGAGCTTTTCCGCTTCCCATAGGGAAGGGAGGTTAGAGGGTCCTGCTGCTGGGCCGGGACCCGTGTGCAGGCAGGCTCCTCGCAGCCAGCCCTGCTCACCCTTCATGCAGGGATGCAGCCCAAGGCTTTTTCGGGAGGCGGGTACCAAGGGCTGTGCTGTAGCACCGGCCTTCAGAAAAGGGAGCGAGTGGTTGCGAGATGGGGCAGCGGGTTTTGCTCCCTGTAACACTTGTTGCTTTGATGGTAGGTTTTGGCTCACTTGTGTTGCCAGCACTGGGATTTTTCCTGCTCCGTGACACGGGGTGGAAGGAGATGCCGACGGTCACACAAGAAGCCGGCATCCTCCCGAGCTCAGCCGCAGGAGGTCTGGCTGTACAGTGAGCCCCGGTCCCTTGCAGGGGAGTGTGTAAGGCTCAGCTGCAGCCCAGTTGGTTGAACAGCGGTTTGGTGATGAGGATTTGGGCTTTCTGCAGAGCAGAACCGCAGCCGAGGGATGAGCAGGCAGAGCTGTGATCCTGATGTGTGCTCCTCTCCCCACTCACAGCACAGTCCTCCTTAATGGCGTCTCCACAGACGGAGGAGTTCTTCGACCTCATCGCCAGCTCCCAGAGCAGACGGCTGGATGACCAGCGTGCCAACGTGGGCAACCTGCCAGGCCTCCGGATAACACACAACAACCTGGGGCACCTGCGTGTAGAAGGGGATGCCCAGGAGCCCGGGGACGAGTTCTTCAACATGCTGATGAAGTGTCAGGTACTGGCAGGGCTGAGTGGGCTGCAGAGCTGGAGGGGGGGGACACTAATTTCTCCCACACGGGTAAACGCCATCCCCTGATCCCATCTGCCCTGCTGGGAAGGGCTGTGGCCAGCAGCTGCCCACCCGCAGCCCCGGGGACCCGGGCAGGTACTGGTCTTTGCCTCAGGTCCTTCTTTTTACCCTGTACCGAGGGCTGTGCTTTGTTACCACTCTACAGGGGAGAGGGTGGCTGGAGAACTCACCTTCCATGCAGTGCCTACAGCCCCGGGCTGGGTCCCTGCTCTTCCCGTATGCTGGAGCCTACAGTGGGGTGCAGCACTGCTGGTCCCGCAGCCCTGCACCCCCAGACGGGGAGCATGTGCTCTGGACACCTTTTGGGCACTGGTCCCAGCCCTTTACATCCATGACAGGACTCTCTTATCAGTACTCAGTCCTAACACCTGTTCTCCTCCCCATACAGTCCTCCAGGATAGATGACCAACGCTGTGCACCACCGGACTCCATCCCCCGTGGCCCCACCATGCCGGACGAAGACTTTTTCAGCCTCATCCAGCGCGTCCAGGCCAAACGCATGGATGAGCAGCGAGTAGATTTGGCCTCAGCCCAGGAGGAGGCAGCAGAGGAGCAGCAGAGGCCTGGTTCCAGCTAAGAACTGGGGTTTGGCTTGGGGGGTTGTTTTGGTTTCATTTTGTTTTTTAAAAAGGAAAAAAAAAAAAGCATAGGTGGTTTCAAAACCGAGCGCTCCTGTGCTACCACAGACTTCTCTCAGGAGCCGCCCCAGGGACACGGGAAGCCATACCTCCATTGTGTTGCACCTGGCTGCTCTGCAGAAGCAGTGTTACAGGAAGGCCCATCAGATGGGGGACGGTTTTTAAACAAGGGTTTTTTTAGGACACACGGCCACTGTAACACCAGGCACAGCACGAGGGAAGAAGACTTTGGCAGCCCCTTTGCTTATCACCTAAAAATCCAGGAACACAAGTTCCAGAACACAAGTTCTGGCTGTCGGCCAGAAGAAGAGCCCAGAGTGGGTAGTTAACTCCAGCCTTGATGTCTTTTATTTCCACAACACTTTTAATTTAATGGGGGAAGGGAAGAGCATCTTTTCCATTTTGAAGTCCTCCTGTCTTGCCTGCATCACGAGGTGACACAGATTGCTCTGGATCCTGCCCTGGAATGCCTTGCTCAGCTTCGTTCTTTCTACGGGAGGAAATGAGCCCAAGTCAGAGGTCACACCAGTGCTTTTAAACCTCAGCCCCGCCCCAGCTGCAGTCGTGGTCCCACACACCTTAAAGTTTATTTTAGGTTTGCCGAGGACTCTGCAGTGAGCCCTGTGACACCCCCTCTGCTTCCCCAGCCGCAGTCCCATGCAGAGCTGTACCAGGACGTCCTGAGCAGGAGCAAAGCCTTGCTCGCCCTGAGCTTTAGTGGGATTTGGTTACCTCTAGAGAACAGCCGTGCAGCAAAGCCCAGCTTCAGCCTGGGACAAAGCCTGAAAGGTAACCGCCAGCCGTGCAGCCCAAACTGCAGGCCCGAGACAGGGGCCTGTGCCCAGGAAGGGAGGAAGGAGGTCTCTGCTCGTCTGTTCAGCACAAGGCAAACACAGGCAACTCATCACTTCTGGTGCCACTGAGCCAGAAGTCTCGTGCAGGATTGTCCTGTGCGCCAGGTGAGTGTGCCCGAGGCAGAAGCTGGCGTTCGGCAATGATCCACTTCGAGAGCCAGCGAAGTTTCCTGGCCATGGCTTGTCAGGAGAGCAAATCAGAACCATCCCCTCCTCCCTTTTGTGTCCCAACAGCAGTCAGGGATAATAGCCCTTCCCTTCCCTTGTTTCTTACCAAACCAGTGCTGAGCTTCTCTCAGTCCCTGCAGGCCCCGGCAGAGCGGCTCCCGGTAAGGCACTCCGCTTCTGCCCAATCTGTCTCCAATAAATGGAGCCTCTCGAGAGCTCTAGACTGGGGTGTTGGCTGGGAAGTCAGTTCCACCCCACACACAAGTGCAAGAGCCTACGTTTGCTTTTATTCCTTCCCCTTTTGGAACAGTTGGAAAAGCAAGCCCAGGGAGCAGAAATCTAACTTCAGGAGGTGGAGTCTTTTTTCTTTCCTTGACTAGCTAGGCTATCTTGGACTTCAGAAACTCCAGTAATGAGTTCTGCCAAAGCAGGTATGTTCCTATAGAGGACAAATCAGCACTTTCTATTTGAAATGCATTTGATGGAAACATTTCCAACCAGCAGTAAGATTTTTAGACCAGTGATGCTGCTCATCGGGCATTTAACCTGCCTGCACTGACCATGTGGAGGGGTAGCTGCATTTTACCTGCTACCAGGGAGCACTCACCTGCTACGCTGCTGCATGGATCGCTTGGCCGAGGCTCGGCCTCCTTCCTGAGGCTGGTCAGAGCTCTGGAGAAGGGATAGGAGGACCTGCCCAGCCACCTACGTACTGACCCAGCTCACATTTGTAAAGAGGAGGAAAACATTGAAGATGACTTGATCAGCTGCAGGCTTGGGCCTGTGCAGCTCTCAGCCAGGTGGTGAACTGGAATCTGACCGTTAAGCTTTCAGAGATGTTAATTATTTGCCATATACTTGAATGTATAAGCTTATTTATTTTTTACATGTGCATTTGCTAATGTCATTTTAATGGGGAATTTCCAACCCACAGGTACTTTTTTTTCTAAAAAATAATCTGCCAAATGAATTAATATATTAGAAATGAATACAGCTCAAGGGGAAGGGGGGGGTTTGTGCTTAATAAATATTTGTGTCTAAGCTTCAGTGACAACACTTCATTTCCATTATTTCTTGGCCAGCCTGCCTGCTAGCAGGGCTAATGCTGGCCCTTTGGAACGGGGTTGGGGGTGGGTGGTGGTCTCCTGTGGCAGACATCACTACATCTAAATGTTAAGTAGAGGGTGTATGGACCCACCTACACATCACTTTACATTAAGAGCATGCAGGTCTCTTGGGCATCACTGCCATCCCCTGCTCTCTGCCTGCCTTAAATGCACAGCACCTATCTGACTGCACGGCTGTGGAGGGAGAGAGAGCCCTGAGCAAGGGCCCAAGCCCAGAAGTTACCAGGACGACAGGGCAGACAAAGCAGTGGCCGAGAATAGACCTTCTTTTCCCTGTCAGCTTGAGCCCTTCTCTAGGAATGTGGCTGAGCCTTTCCTTTCAGGCCCTGCCTGGGGGCTCTGGCTCAGCCCTGTCTGGGTGCCTTCTCGGTGCCTGGCCCAAAAGCTGTGTCTTGTTTCCCCGGCAGCAGCTACCAGAGGAAAAGGGCAGCAAGTGCTGCGCAAAGCCCTGGCATCAGCCCTTAGTGAAGATACTCACAAAGCAGCAGGCAGCAGTGCTAGCTCATTCCAACGCAGCAGGCATGAGCAGGCCATTAGACTTTGCTAGTAAGTGGGCCTGAGAGCAGCAGATTTTGGATCCTGAGCCCTGTGAGGATAAAGCCAAGTCACAGCTGGTCTTCCCATGCCCCACTAACTTGTGCTGGCCACTGCCAGTCCTGATCAAAGATTAATGAAAAGCCATCAGCTCATTCTCATCAGGCATTCTCACGCCTTCTCAGTGCCTGCACAAAAGCAGCTCTGTGCTAGCAGTCTCTGTGTGTGACTTGGGGACAGAACCATGCCCCCAGGTACACAAAGACTAGAGGCTTGAATTCCCAGGAACAGGTGAAATCCCTGTGAGTGAGTGATGAGGTCTTACCTGCTGTCTCTCTCTCTCTCTGTCCTTAGCAGCTGGGGAAGGGAGCACATGCTCTCCAGGTAATGTCCTCTCTTTCAGAGCCCCTGTGAGCAGGAGACAACGGCTACAGCTGAATCTCCAGAGCAGCTCACAGCCTGCAATGGTTGCTGCTCTGCCATACCCTGCACTAGCAATGTTCAGTGCCAGCCTTCCCCTTGCCCACACAGCTTGGTCCCATGTAGGGAAGCGTTCTCCAATGCTGACATCCACCGGATAGACGCGGGATTGCCAGGGCCTGCGCAGCACTAATGCGGGCTGACTCGGATCCGCTGCTGCTGCAGCTGTAAAGTGCAGGTTACTACAGAGCAGGGTGCTGTCCCCGGTGCAGGCCTGGAGGTGAAGAAGAGGAACTCTAAAAAAACCAGCAGAAACACAAGATACTGATCTCTCCTACTCAGCTGTACACAGACCTTGAGAGGCACTTGCGAGACAGGGCTGATGTCGGGCCTGTGGGGATTTTTGTGTTGCTCATCTGCCAAGTCACGTCAGGGCTGAGTCTCTCCACTTACCTCAGCCCTCCCCAGAGCCTCGTGCTGTTACTGCTCCAGCCGTCATTGATCTTCATCTGGCTGGAAAGGCTCTCAGCCTGCAGGAAGGGATGTGCTGGCCCAGAGCACCCAGGCACTGTAAATTTCAGTCTGGAGTTGGACAGCTTTTGGCAGCTCTCCATAGCAATCTCCTGGGACCCCGCTAGGCCAGAACACAGCCATGGGCTAAGTTAACTCCTGCACAGCTTTGCAGTAAGGCAGGGGCATCCCCGCACCAAATACCCCAGCCCAGGGACACAGCATAGACACATGCACGCAGGGTTTTGAGGGGAAGGCTCGCTTACCCTCACTGTGCCTCTCTGCCTACACTACAGTAGGACCTGGCAGCCCAGAACCCACCTACATTAGACCCTATGCAAGCAGCACAAATAAGCGGTAGATTCATTTCACAGCCCCCAGCACCCCTCCTCACTGCCTGCACTGATGCTACAGGAAAAGAAACGTACCTGCCCAGTTGTCACTTCAGCGAGGCAGGCAAATCGCCCTGAGAGGCTCCCAAGTGGCTCCTCGGTTCAGCTGAGCCCTCCACAGCACACGCAAGCGTAGTGGGGTTTAGAACTGCCGTCTCTGCGTAAGGCAGCACGAGGCACAGTCCCACGCAGCGCACACAACACATTCATGCACGCTGGTAGCAAAAAGCAGCAGGGGTTTATGTCAGGTAGCCCCAGCAAATGAGCCTCTGCACCCCAACCTCCCTCTCATTTGGGCCGGCGCAAAGGCCTTCCCTCAGCAAGTCCCATCACCACTTGCTTCCCAGTTCCACAGGGCCTCCATCTCACCCACCTTTACCAAACACCACTGCCTTCCTGCTGAGCATGGGCCAGAACACCAGTAACCCCTGCAGCTAACAGACGCGACCCATCAGAGTCCCACACTGGCCGGATTAATGCTGGCATTTGGCTGCACTACAAAAGGAGGATTTGCTCAAAGAGGCAGAAAACAAGAGGCAAAGTATTTGCCATTTTGCAGAAAAGCCCTCGTGGGACAGGATTCAGGAACAGGATCCATTCCTTAACAGCCACCATGAAATGCTTCAAGGAATGGGCAAATGGCCTTATGTTTGCCACCTGTCCTGTGAATACTACTTTGTACCCCTTGAAATCACCACCTCTCCTCTGTGCCACAAAGACTTACCCTGGTTGGCTGCACCTTCAGTCACTCTCCTCTGCTCTGCTGCACCAGGCCTTCACGTCACTTTTTTCCCATCTTGACACACCTCCCGTTCAGGAGAAAGGCTGCGTCTCTTCTTCCCGCTCCTTTAGTCTTTAGCTAAAGCAAGGTCTGCTGGGCTCCTCCTAGACAAAGCATGCTCACCTCTGTCCTCTTTCAAGAACAGACACACTTCCCTGTGACACAACATTTTTCAGAAAAACCCGCTTCAAAAGGGAGCACAAAATTCCTTTTTTACCTGCAATCTATTAGCAGCAAAACCTGTGTTATACATAAATTCCCTCGCATAACTGCAACCCTCTCCCCTTCCAGCTGAAAGCCCCAGAATGTTTTGTCA